CTACCGCCCGCCTAAGTTGAGCAGCCCCCAGCCAATAAGGTGCTGTCCCGTCCATGTTCCGCTTGTTTCATTGGGTGCATGAGGCTGAGGGCTGATCCCGAAAAGCGGACCGAAAATCAACGCACCAGCGAACAACACAATTAATCGAAATTCAAAGGCCTTGCGTGACAGGTCTCTAGAAGCTCCCACACGGATGCTTCGTTCACGCTCCGGCGTTGGATTTACGCCCCACTGCCTTGTGGGTCAGACTTTTGAGTCAAAGGCTCCGGTTAGGGTTCCCAAAGAAAAACCCCTCTGTCGGTGTGGGCTACCGCGAAGTATGCCGTGCCCCAAAGTCTTGAGTACCCATTTGGAAAACCATCTTTCCCATCTGTCTAGTCCTTCTTCTCAATCCCGAATATTCCCAGGTGCCTCCTGCTTACGAGACCCATCGCATATCACTCAGCGCTCAACTAATAAGGTCAACCACTCAGAGGCTATCAGATTTTTGAAACCAAAATCTCCTGTCCCAACTACCACAGTCTATGGAGGTGCTTTTATTAACTCGGCATGAATACATATTAAAATAACCAACAGTGTATGGTAGAGGAAATGTTAATCAAGATCTGTGAAACAGACTTCCGTTGCTTTCTGTAAACTGTGACGATTTTTTTAGGCCGGAGCTTGCCCCCGGTACGAGCTGCATTGATTAAGAATTCATTTTGTCGCATTCTAGAACATCGTCACGCTGGAGTAACCAAAGCAGTCCATTCTCAAGATTTTAATGCGGCGTTCGACAGCGCATGTCATGACATCTCTAAAACAATGTAAGATGATGGAGTTCTTGGCAAAGGTGTTAACCTAATGAGCTCTTATGAGTCCAGCACCACGACTTGGGTTACCATCTTCAGTGAGCGGCGGCTTGCGTTTGGAGTACGACAAGAGTGCACAATCCGCCAAGCTGTTCAGTTTTGTCATTCATTGGTTAAGGGACTGCTCCATGGAGAAATATCAAAATCAGACTTTGCAGGACTTTTGTTCGGATGATTTTAAATGGGCTTCCGATTTTTCTTCGTTCTCGGTAAGGACATATTTGATCTCCGAGAAACATTCAAACACATTAATTAGCAAACCTCCGAAACCGGCCCAAAATAAACATGCAAAACAAATGTTTGCAACCAAGTCAATTTACCCCGGAAACACGTTATGGTGGGTCAATAGGATCCGTCGAAAATTTCAAGTACCTCAACCCCGATCATATCGTCCAACGGTCAAGTCAACAAGAAATTCGAATGTTCAGGGGCCGTGCAAAAAAGCATCTTTAGTTCAAGAATGATCTATCGCGCAAAAAGGAAATCAGCTTTGCGACCAAATTTCTAGTGTTATCCGAAGCAATTCGTTCAGATGACAATACAACTGCGAAGCTAGTCCAATGAGAAATACTCGGTCAATCATGCTTAAGAACGAACCTGGATGTCGAGATAAACTGCCTAAGTAGTCAGTAATCGCTTATAACATCACAGCTTCGCAGGTTAGTACAACGGAGATACTGCGGTTCGGTGTGCTGCAAAAAAATTGATCATGAGCTGAATAAGGTCACGCTCGCACCGTCTGTCTTCTTGAACCAACATCGTGTACAACATAAAACTCGGTTGTAAAACGCGCGTGAAGACAAGCTGGGTCTCCTCCGCAATGAGCCTGTAAAGAACCATCAAGCCTGAGAAGCCGCAGTTCGGTATATTCATCAAGGAGACTCATCCCTTCTCAGGAATAACCTCCAACAAAGCAAGTATCACTACCTACCTGTAGGAGAACTGTTCAGCTCTTCACTTCAAAACCCTCAGAGATCTTTTCCGTTCTTTCACATCGATATTGAACAGCATCACCTATGGGCTCTCAAGTCGCTCTCGCAGCTATTAATCAACTCGAATAAGTAACTGAAAGATAAACATCAACGCCATCAAACAACTGTTTAACCTGTCATAACCAAAAACGATGTAACCACCTTGGTTCTCATCCAGTTTAACAGGAGTCGCAAAGGCCCCAAATACGGCTCAGATAAAACTCGCATAGACGGTGGGGTCGATCTTTTGGGTGAGTCTGTTGTCAGACGCACACGAAGCCAAACCATACTCATTTAAAGGACAACCGCATAGAAAATAAGTGGGATTTTTTGCAGCACTGTGGCCAAAAATTGACAGTTATTTGGGATACTGTAGATATCGTATCTTGTGTTCCACATACGGGTTTAATCTTGAATCCGCAATAGGAGAGATATATTTGAGTAAATGGCGACGAAAACCAAGTAAAAAGGTTGAAGGGCTTACCCATTTTGGAACTGTGGGAGAAATTTAAAACGTCCACAGCATGAGAAGTGGCTTCAGTTGATCCACGAAGCTGTGAGACACTTCCAGCACCGCTGTTCTGTGATGGTACAATTTTTATTACACTCTTCACAGACTGGTTTGAGTTGTTTGAACATGTCGAATCGTTCACGGTCTTCAAAAGAGGGTCACATTTTAAAAGTGGATACTCACTTGGATGAAGCCCAGTGGCAACAACTTCCGCGGAGATATCTGCTTAGATTCCGTGACTTGACAAGGGTTTCGATTTTCTAATGAACTGCTGGATATTCGGATGATACGTATTGGATTCATCAAAGGGCCCGTCGAGCAACCATTACCGCTAGGTTTATTTGCATCCTTGGGGGATAGCAGCATGTCACTGCGGACAGAGACCATCGACGGTCCGACAGCATCCGTTAATACGCAGTCAGATTGGGCAGACAAAAACGGGCTGGATTCGCGCAAACATCCAGCTTCGTCCCCTAGGTTTACACTGTGTGTAAGTAATGCACATTTGTCACCGACTCCTGAAAACCCATTTAGCAAAACGTTATCACCGAAGCTTCAGGAGACTCACCACTAATTCCACTGTCACTATCACTGACATTATCCACACAATCTACGGGGTTATTCAAAATGGAATTCGTCAATTCTCCTAGCTCAACGGTGTCTAGTTGATTCTGTTTATGCATGAGTAATTCAGAGGTATTACTTACAAGATCCACAGTGTCTAGAAAGCCTTCCATTGCATCATCCATGCACGCTGCTTAGAGTGAAAAATAAAACCTAGCAAAACTTACGAAGGACATCCATGCCGAAATGGTCCTCCATCCCAGTTGCTGGGCGCGTGCACAGCTCCAGATGGTCCACCGGCAAATAACCAGAATACGCCAAAAAAGGAACACGCGTATCGCGCGCGTACATACAACCGTTGAACTAGATGATATATAATGGCATATAGAACATGCAGCTTGTGTTCTTATGATGCGATGATCCACATAAGTTTCAATAAGCTCGAAATAATCCCTAAACTTCTTCTTTCAAAGCAAGGAATCCAGAAACAATAGAGATTATAGAAATCCGTGAATTATCTCCTTTATTACGAAAAACTTTTGAAGTTTTCTGAGGATATTTACTGTACTCAGAAGGAAATTATTCGTAGGCAATTTAAAAAGGCACCGTCAGCACAACGTGAGGTCAAATAAGTTTTCATTTAAGGATGGAACGTGCTTGATCCCAGAAGACCTTGACTACTTAAATATCCAATCCGATCCAATCCAATCTTCCAGGACGTAGAGGCCTCGGCCTTATGGTTGTCCTGATTCTGGCTCGATCTCGTCGGTAGACCGATCGAGCTGTACGTTTGTCCGGCTTGCAGCACGGTTGATAATTCCGCGACCGTCCGAAGTTGCGGGATTCGGATGTAGTAGGAGTCGCATCTTTTATTGGTAAGGCTGAAAGAGAAACAAGGCATGCTGTCTTCTCGCCGTGTCGGTGAGAGACTTACGTACNCACTTAATCGCAAGCGCTCCTTCGTTTGCATGCTGAGCATGCGCACCACATTGTGTCAAACGTGCGGGTGGGGAGAATAAAAGACGGAGCTTATTTCCCTTCTGTTTTAGATCACTTCTGGAAACGTTTCGGCCCATACTCTATCCAATTCCATCTTAAAGGCCTGAACTGTGGTCAGCTGAACGAGTCTGTAGTGACCATGATTGTACGAAGAAAAGGAGCAATCCACGAGGACGTTTTCCGT